TCATAAAGCCTGCCATTTGAAATAAATAAATATATATATCCGAATGCTGAATCGTACACACACTGAAACGGGATTGGAAAACTCAAGGGGTCTAGTATTCATCTGATTGTTTCTGAAGGCATTTACTAATTTTATAAAATAAATTAAAAAATGGCTTTTATATTGTAAAAATTAAACTTTCGTTTAGTTCAGCAGCCAGAACTGAGATGTGTTACAAAATAAGCATATGGTGAGGTTTCAGCAAAAATAAGGAAATAAAACTGGGTGCCATAATTAAAATGTATTAACTGGGTTTATTTGTTGAATAACCGCTTTTTAACCAATAAACAATTCATTGTTGATATCGGAATATTCATTTCCCGCTACAAACAGTAGGCACAAAATCGTCAGCTCACCAATCAATGACAAGTATTAAGAGACCAAGTCACGGGAAAGAAGTTAGCAATCAAGCTATAGGCCATGATTTGACAATATTCAATGGTGAGTCTCACATTGGAATTGAGGAAGTCTTCATCCTGAACAACTTAAACATGGAACACGTGACCAAATCAGATACATTTCGGTACACTCGAGTGGAACTAAAGCCCAAACCGTCATGCACTTGATTATCAATTATCTGACGGCGTGGATATTTAATCCTCCCCCCCCCGTGGGTTGAAATTATCGATGACATTCAATTTTCAAGTATAGCAGTTATAGCAACCTTTGTTTGCAATAGAAAAATCGTTGCCTTTGCTAGAGGGGCTTCTCCTCCCCCTATTCTTCTCCTAATAATAAGTGGTAGCCTAATAAAAGTAGATACTAAAAGTAGTACTAAAGCGCAAAATCGTGGAATAAATGACATTTATTCAGAAAATGCTATACATGGGAGAAAGAGGAGGGGGGGGGGAGTGGAGGTTGTCTTTAATCCGAGTCCAATTCAATAGTTGGAGTAGGAGGAGCTCGTTTTCTTGACGCCTTCGGTGTTTCTTCACCAGTCAAAACATCATCAGGAAGCCGAACCTTCATGTCAACTCCCTTCACTGAAGCCGCTACGACATATGCAATGGTAGAGTATGGCGTGAAATGAAAATCCAGTGTTAGGACCCCGTGACAAAGACACCAAGAGAGGAGGTATTCACAAAGACGAATGTGCTGCCGACGGTTCAAGTGGAACGATAGCCTATTTGAGAGTTCATCTGCAACTCCACTGTCTTTCACTAACAAGTCAACCAATTTGACTCCTGTCAGACGTTGAGATCTACGTCGGTTCTCATCGAGTACATCAAACATTCTCTTGACAAAATCGCTGGCATCAATCTCATCTTTGTAAAAAAAACAATTCAAAAAGATGTATTAGAAACTAACGTCAACATAACAGCAAATTCATTTTGAAGAGTAAATAGAAAGCGTTCCAAGAGGTGCAACAAATCTGTTACCCTATGACATGCCAGTACGACTGATCAGCATTTTGAGCCAGTCTAACCTCGATATTTTAGGCTTCTGGAAGGTCGACATTGGAATAAATTATTTATACACATCAGTGACTCAAAAGCTTCAGTTTTAGATAGACAAGCGGAACAAAACTAGAACTCGCCAAAAATGTTAAAGTTTAAAACGTTTAACATAAAGATAAAGTGAAGATGTGAACGAATAGTGTAAAAGCGGGGTAATAGACATCTACCTCAGGGATGCTTAGGAAGCTTCTGGAAAATAATATCCTTTGATAGTGCCTTCAATATCCCCAATTGCGACTAAAGCTACTTAAGGAAACTAGCGACTTAATTTTCACATTTTTAATAATAACCTCCTCTCAAACACATCCAAATTTGTGAGCTTGTATATATTCCCCATGTTCGTCTGTTACTCAAGCGTTACACCTCGAAATCGGCGAACACCAATAAACAGAACTAGAATGGAAACATCTAAAGCACGTGACAACGGGTCCTGGGTCTAAATAGTAATGTGAATGCAATAAATCAATGTAAATTCGTTTCTAGACTGCAATTATTCAATAGACACTTTTGGCCGGATATTTACACCCATGGGGGTAAATGATAGGACGTTGGAATCTTCGTCTATCCTATTAATTGTATTTCACAGAAGGGGTGTGCGATAGACTTGCCTCCACGTTGTGCCCCTGGACAACGTGTAATTATAAGGCAAAAATGACTTCTGATTTCAAGCTACCCTGATCCGATTGTATGTCATATTCCACCACTTCTACAATGCTCGCCTTACTTTTTTCTCTAACTTCGTGTCTGCCTCTTTCAAATTTGCGAAACACTCTCCTGTTCCTCCCCCTCTCGACCTTTGTGACTTTGATGTTCCTCCTCCTCCTCTTTATGAAGCCCAAAGTCAACTAAAGGGATAATTGATAACTATCATAAAGCCTGTCAATTGATAGAAATAAATATTTCGCATAAAATATTTTCAAAACAAGAATAAGGCTGGAGAATAGCAATACTAGGATAAGTAAGCTTAATAGTGGGAAAACTAAAAAAAATGTTTGTGTCAGAATCACTGCCAAAATTAGGAATGGAGAAATCTGTTAGAAAGAAATAGGTACTATATTAGGAATGGTTGCAGAGAAATCAGAATCTTTAGAAGAAATGCTTTAAATCACATTTCTTCATAGCTGAGGTTAGGTTCCTATAGAAATTAGCTTTACGTACCAATTGATATAAATGCAGTGAAGCGGCAAATATTAGAGTGAAGTAAAGCGTTTCTGCTACTAAAATATGGTAGCTTCCTAGAAAGCTCCCGAGTTCGAGGGAATATCCTCCTCAGGACAAGAAGAGAAAACATCCATTGTGGAATAATTGAGCAACCTAAACACTGAAACACCCTTGAGCAAATACAGCCCTGCTGGCTCACAACTTTAGTCACCTTGACACCCCCCCCTTCCATGCGTTTAATGTGAAGGCTCTTCAATCACTTTTACGGTATATTTACTACTCAACCAGTTGAAGACAAAATTAATTGAAGCAGCAGGCCCGACTCATCTTGATTAAATAATATCGGTCAGGAAGCAGGCGTAATCCAGGAGAGGAATCATGGACGTTGAATTGCCCACTTAGAAAATGCCACATAACAACAAGCATTCACAGAGACATATTGATTTAAACTCTTTGTTACCCAGACATTGTTCTAAACACCTCTTTGATCATCTCACCTTAGCAATTAACCAAGCTTTCATTTCACTCTTTCAGTTACCTACTTAATAATTGCAATTTTCGCATTAATGTAGGCAGTACTAATAGAATCTTCTTCCATGACTCCGCAGCTACTCAGACTCAAGTAAGTGAAAATGAGGCGATCCAATTCAACGGAAACTTACATCCAGGTGAATCGTCGACTCTTGAGCATATATCACATGAAAACTCTTCACAATGATCAGCTCGCCAGTCCGAGTACCCCAGACCCTCAGCAATTAACTGTCTGCGGCATCGCTTAGTTTCCACAACATAGCCAATCATCTGGTTTAGTTTCGGAAGACCAGTCTGTTCAGCAAAAACCATGTTGGCTAGACGGAAGAGATCTGATAGGCGCCATAGCAAAATCACTTGACTTGGCTGCCCATCACGTCCTGCACGACCCGACTCCTGGTAGTAGTTCTCCACACTCTTGCTTGGCGAAAGGTGAATCACGAATCGAACATCAGGTTTGTCGATTCCCATTCCAAAGGCCACTGTGGCAACAATAACCTAAAAGCACACCAATGAGAATTCATTGAAATCAACGATTAGTAGGGAGCAATGATTGCCTTAATAATGCAAACGAAACGGAAGAAATGCAATAGCCTAGATTAATTGGCCCAGACATTTAAATCAGACCAATAAAAGGATACAACATATTGTAAACCGTTTAATAAACACTAGCGTACCCGAAGGTATATCAGTTAACGAGAAGGCTTTCAAATAGATAGGACACGGATTTAACGTGCTACTAGTGGGAAGAATAATAGCCAACCGCACTGTTTAAAGAAGATTAATAAAGATGGTGACAGAATTCAGGTTTCTGACGAGAGGCTCAATGATTCACCTCCTAACCCATGACGAGTATAGAAATTATTTTCTACAATATCTCTGATCTTTAGGTGGGGGAGGGGGACTTTAAAATCACCGATTCGACCAAATCCCATAAAAAATTGAATTTGAAGAAAGTTTAGAAAACGTTCTTTGCTAATGTCTTCCACGTAAATTGGAGAACCTCGAGACACAATAAAATTATTAAGTGGAGTCAGTAAATAGACGAACTAAAACTATCTGACGTCTAGTAACGATTTTAATTAGAGAATTTACTATTGATGAAATAAGACGTAGATTGACCCCAAATTGGAGTGAATAAGGTATCAACAAACGGAGGTGGGGAAACGAGATTGATTGCAATTACGCAAACATGCATTGACCTATCCATTCCACGCGCACTAAACGTGCGGAAAAAATAACTTGAACCCTAATCAATCATCTACTTACTTTGCTTCCATTAAAATAAATCAAATGTTCACCTTAAGTTTCCCAAATACGATTTTAAATTCGTCAATGTAAATAAGATTTCGCATTGCTGTAAAATGGACAGGATTCATTGAAGCTGAGTCATTTAAGTTATTGCGGATGCGAATTAGCTATTTGGGAAAAAAAATGAACATGATAATAACCTACTTTTGTAAGATCATAGTACCACATGAATACTATGAAGTTGCATTACAGAACAGAATATTAGCACTATCAAAACTGGAATCCAGACTGAGCCCTATTTTTAGGTAAGATCATAAAACAGCTCCAAAAGACTACTACTAATTCTATCAACGAATTGGCAACAATGAATATGGAGACAGGGATAACAATTGTGAAATCTATCATTTGTCTTAAAGGGATTAAAAATAGGTTATTAGAAGAGATTCAAGAAATAGAATGTCGTAAAAACGGACATTTTTCATTTATGATACATGAGAGCCCGACTACCACATTCTATTGGTATCAACTATCCCAATTTACACCACACTAAATCGGTTCCACTACCTCGTCAATAAACGCTGAATACCACGAACAGTAACCCATTCATTCATCGATAATACAAAAGCTTTGAAACACATGTCAGTGACCTCTTATCATCAAGTAAAAGACAATAGTATGGGTATTCTAGAAACCAAATGAATTAAGGTCTACTTATCGACGTCAATTTGTAGTCTGCTTACACATAATCTCGTTAAGCATCAAAGGTATTGACATGCATTTTAAAATTGGCGCAGTGCCATTTAATAAAGATTTCATTTCTTTCTAAAAATGTAAATAGATTTGGGAAATAGGGAAACTAGAAAATTTCTCGTACTAATTCCCCCCCCCCACACCCATTCCCCCACCCACCTTTCCTTAGAAACAGCTTAAATGTGAATACTTTCAAGGTTGTCTAGAATGCCGACTGCATTTTCTCCCGTTGCGTGGACGGTGTCAAGGCCTTTTTACATCTACCGATTGTGTTTGTTCTAAACATTGACATTTGCAAGAAGTTTAATCGGATTCTCTTAAGTGGGCAATTATCTAATTATTGTTTTATCATATAATAAAACGACAATGAGATTAATAAAAGCCATCTACAAATTTGACATTGCACCAATCAGCACAAAACAAAAAAAGTGGGCTTTAGAATGAAACGCGACACAAGCAAGTTGGTGTTTGGTTTGAAATCACAATCTCGACAGTCTAGTTACTACTAGTACCTTTGTGATAAAAATTGTCCAGTTGCACAATGTCTATTTTAACTGCGAAGAATTAGCTGCAAGATGGTGAAATTATGAGACACTTGGAATAGAAATCAAAGGTGCGTGTAGAAGGTGTTATAGAAAATAGCAATTGTTCGACTACTTTACTTGCACCAACTAAAACAATGGCAATGGCAAGATGATTGAATTCGGAGAGATGGCGTGATGTTCTTGACAAATGTACCCTGCAGACAGACTGTGCACTCCACAAATCGTATTGGTCACACACTTTCCAATTTATTTAGCTGTATGCACGTGCCACTTATCGTCGCCTCCAGAGTACCTAAGTGGAAAACATAACTTACACCATTCCGGTATAGACCTGTGCACTCGTCAGAACGGACACAAAAATAGCAGTGTTTAGACCTCTGTTTGATCAGACGTGCAGAGGAATCCAGAGGTGAAATTTTCAAATATCTGATCCCAAGTGCTTGGAATGGAGAAATCTATCTTATTTCACAATGATTTCAAAAAGGCAGAAAAACCAATTGATTGCCATTGGTAACGCTTTTTTCAGCGTTTCAGAAGCGGTAAGGCAAAAAACAAAGATTCTACTTCCCATCTCTCCCTCTACGGATTAGTGGAGTTTTAGGTCAATTGGGATTTTGAGGAGACTGCTAAATGGATATCCAGCTGGTTTTCTTAGTGAATACATAAAAATGGGTTTGTGGAAAGCGAGAGAGGAGACCGCAGGAGACAAAAGTGAAAAGTATTGATTTCCAATACTTCTAATAACCAAAGTAAGACATCACACTGGATCTCAAGTGCATGAAAATACTGAAAGAACCAAGCAATGAAGAAAATTCTCCGTCTATATTGAAGATAGGTTAGGACACCTCTGTCATAAAATTTCCACACACACATGAACATATTCCGTTAAATAGTCACGAGCCTACGTTTATTAAATATGAAGAGAATAAACAAAGGGAATAATAAAAATTTTGACATGTCGAAACTCGATTTCTGCCGAAAAAAGGAAAAAGAGGGAAAGTTTTTTTCCCACTGCAATTTAATCACAACTTTCAAAAATCGTTTTCTAAAGCAAAAGATTTTTAAATCGATCTATTCCCACCTTAAAATAATAGTGAATCTTTTCTTACATAAGTGAACTATGATTGCATTAGAAAAAAAATACACAATTTAAGTTTAGAGAAAACTCGATCGGTCTTGAGATAACTAATAGACAAAAAAACACAGAGTAAGAGCAATACTTGAAGTTTCCCGTCCAACCAAGCGATATGATCTCGTTCACGACGACACGGATCGACATTAGCGTGGTAGAAAGCAGCTCCGATTGACTCCTTGTTGAGATATTCAGCCAGACTCTCGGTGTCCTTTTGCGAAATACAATAGACAATGCCTTTTGAGGTAAACAAGAAAAAAACGAGAGAGAGAGATTAAATCACGAATAATATTTAAGCTGCTATGATTAGTTGATAGAAACATGCTTACCCGATTGACCTCTAAATTCTGTCTTCAAAAGATCACATATAGTAGAGTAGGAAGTGGTAATCGAGGAAGATTGAAAACGCACCTGAAGAAAAAAAAAACAAATTCCATGCAAAATTTTCCTCCATAGAAGAATATATGCTAGAAAATGACCGATATTGCTGAAATGCCAAAACAAACGTGACTCATTCAAGACGGCAAATACAATCAATGGAAGGAAAAGGGCACACCAAGTCTAAGCGCTTGATTTGTCAGAAGTGGGAGAGAAAGAGGTAGTGCCATTTAATGTGTATTAACTAGGATAGAATCCTGCTGAGAACTGATTTAAATGACCTAACGCTATTAGCAATGTTACCAGGGTAACAGCGAGAGTGCGAACAACAATCCCAGGGTGAAATCAAGACATTAACTACTAAACTAAAGGATATAATTTAGTAGTGAGGTGTGCAATAGACTTACCTCCACGTGGTACATCCTGGGCAGCGTTTACTCATACGGTAAAAATTCTATTAACTGGCAGTTGACTTCTGACTTCAAACTACCATCACCCCACTTTATGCCATATTCGACTACTTCCACAGTACTTACCTCACCTTTTTTCTACCTTCGTGTCTGCCTCTTTTACATCTTTGAAACACTCTTCTGTTCTCCCCTCTCGACTTTTTTTCACTTTGATATTCCTTCCCCAATGTGTAGCCTAAAGTCAGCTAATAGGCTAATGATAACTATCAAAACACCTGCTATTCGATATAAATAAATAAATAATTTAGTAGTCATCTGACTAGAAATAGGTCTTTAGAGAAAAAATTCGCTTGTTTTCGATGACTTTGAAAAGTATTAAACAATGATACTGAATAGAGTTCGACCAGGTTTAAATGAGTCCCAATGACTGGAAGTGGTGCGTTAATAAATCAAAGGGAAATTCGGATGCTGCCTAAATTCCCTGAAATGAGTCACGGCAAAGAGATTACAAATGTCAATGACAACTGTCATCTGTTGAGAGACATATGCGACCACGTTACAAAACTGCAAAAAATATAGCAATTACTTCAATAATCCGCAATATAATTCGATGACCGAATAAATATATATTCGCATTTAGATTTAAATTATATTGCCAATCATGAGGATGCTGAATTTCGCAGATGGCAGTTAGCAACCCGCAAGGAAGTCAAAATTGAACTGAGTGATGTTTTATAGCCCTTGCACCCTTTTAATTTTACCGTAAAGCCGAGAGTGACAACTTGACCTTGAATAGGGGTCAGGAAAGAGGAAAGGATTAAAGGTGGATTAGAAAACGAGGTAGAAATCAAAGAGGTCGATCAGATTTGCCTTGATTGCGCCCTATGTTCATAAACTGGGCCAATTGAAGAATCCATTCACCCAAGCCATAACAGCAAAAAAAAAGGCAACACCTCATCATGGCAATACAACTGACATTGGATAACAATAAGCAGTCCAGTTTGAGATAGGAAACAGGAAGAGAATCGAGAAGTGCATTTAATTACTTGCCAATTAATTAGGATGGTTGGTTGTTCCTCCCTCTGCAATTCGCTTCTTTTTCAAAAGTCACAAAAATAAACAAATTGGTTCTTGCTTTTGTCGTCAATTTAACAGATACAAAAAAAGCCACGCAGAAAAAAAGAACATTCAACAGAGGATAAAGCGCTACTCGTTTTACCGCTCACTTAAACATCTCGATTAACCTGAAAGGTCTATTCAAAAGTGCTGCAAATACCCCGGCAGCAAAAAAACAAATCTGAAGCAGCATAGTCGTAGTTTTGCTTTCTGCAGTTTTTGTTTTATTAAATTAAACTAACACTTAAAAACTCCACCCACACTGCAGAAGAGGCTTCGTCTTTTCCAAAGCAAAGCAAGGGGAAAGTGCAGGTTTTACAAAAAAAGGAATAATTCCAATACACGAAAATTTCCAAAATTCGGGAATATTTTATTTATTTATTTATTTACTTGATTTCAAACACACAAAAGGGAGCACAGATCAGTAGGATGGCATTCAATGCAATTTCCGAATCACAAGCAAATCTTTAGGCTGCTAGCCGCCATAAATTGATTTCTCAGTCCACAAAACTCCGACGCGGTCTGGACCACACATAACTGATTAGAAAGAGAGGGAGAGGGAGGGAGAGGGGGGGGGAGTGCGCAAAAAAGACACCGTATGTCAGACAGTGTGAGGACACAGAAGAAGGGTGGATAATACTTTTCGGAGGAAAGTGGTGCTTATATTTATGTTCCTTGCGGTGCAAGATTAGGCTATCTCCCCTAATCAAATTAAGCATACTTTTATTACTTTGCCTTTTCCAAAGAATAAAGTAGTGCGGAAACAACTTATCATTTTAAGGCAGTCTTATTGACTTTCTGAACCCAAATGTATAAAATCATCCAGCCTCAAATAAAGTGATTAAATCAGAATTGAGAAATTAAATTCTGAAGTCAAAATAAACAATTTCCGACTGCAGGAAAGACAGTGGGATAATAGAAAAGTGAAAGGCTACTCGAATTCAACATAACCCACCTTGTACCTCAAATTCGGCCGATTATACGATGATCTCAGAACAAGACAACGCTGCTGTTGTAGACCGAGCATCTTCTGAACATCAAGAACCACCTCCGTGGATGCTGTGGCAGTGAGTCCGAGAATGGGCACTTGGGGGAATTGAGTGCGCAGTACATGAAGAAATTTGTAGTCAGGTCGAAAGTCATGACCCCACTGGCTCACACAATGCACTTCATCCACAGCGATGCGGCCCAAACGACCTTTGGCATAGGCTTTCTCCAACCTATTCATGAGACGCTTCGATTTGCTCAACTTCTCGGGAGTGACAAAAAGAACACGGAGATCGTCCGGTGTCCTTGTCTGCAACATAGATTAGAAAATAACAGAAAAGGGGTGTGCGATGGACTTACCTCCACGTGGTGCACCCTGGGTAACGTATACTCATACGGCAAAAAAGTCTATTAACTGGCAGGTGATTTCTCACTTCAAACTACCATCACCCCACTGTATGTCATATTCGACATCTACACAGTATTCACCTCACCTTTTTTCTACCTTCGTCTTTGAAACACTCTTCTGTTCCTCCCCCTCCCTCTCTACTTTTTTCAATTTGATGTTCTTCTCCTCTGTGAAGCCTGAAGTCAACTGAAGGGTAAATGATAACTCTCAAAACGCCTGCCATTTGATATTATAAAATAACAGAAAAAACGTTTGAAGTGACGTCTCAAATACATACTTAATTATGTAAAGTTATGGAGGAGGGAGGTAATTCCAATTGAAATACATTCGTTCGGGAAAGATGGTTGCATTAATAATTTTGTAGATAAAAATTCGCTTTGTTGATTAAACCTGCCAAAAGAGTGTAGAAGCTGCTTACCATTCAAAGCAACCATGAAGAAAGATCACTTCGAATGGAGTCAAAGGTGTAGTAAGAAGGTGAAAAGAGAAAAGATAATTTGAGATTTCAAGCCCTCTGTAGTGCAATTCTGAGCTAACAGCCACATGGAATCGGATGCAATTTCACTTTTCTACTAAAAGTATACGTGAATGAAAAGCTATAAATGCAGCCTCAAGGTTAATATTTTGACAAACGGAAGATAAAATTAAAGCCTCGAATAGCGATGTGCAAGGGAGAATGCTATGTTTGGACTTTTAATGCAAAAAATTCATGTTATTTGAGGAATGTGCATTAATAGAAGAACGAATCCATTAACTTTGGTACATTGGCAATAAACGTGTAGGAAATTGGAAGGGCCACCTTCAAACAATATTTGGCAATATGCCATGCACGAATCTTGTAAATCCAATCTAAGTGCTGTAAAAGAGCACATACGAAGAAGCAATGTCGTATGCCTATCTATCACCCTAAATGGCACAAATGCGAGGTTGTTTAGTTCATATTATTTTACCGGAATTATTAAATAGACTTTTTTGAGTAGAGAAGTGCAAGAATGCAAATATCAATAAAACACTCCTCAACTATACATTTCCAATTCACTCGAGATATTGAACATGGCATTTAGAATTAATCCAATCGAAGTAATTTAATAAAACATAATATCAATGAATTGAATGGAATAAGTGTAAACGAATATCTAAACACAAGAATTAAGTGAACATTGACGCATTACCGCCCTACGGGACCTAATGGAGAGTGGAAGTGTTCATAAGAATTGACCCAAAACAGCCAACAAATGTGGCGGTAGATAGCGCATAAAAGCAATATGTGTGTGTGTATGTGATGCGGGTTACTTGACGTTATTGAGGATAACAGCAATGCAGAATAAGCACTAGGGTACAAATAGGAATAGAAGGGGAAGAATGAATTCGAGGCGTGTAGGAAACAATGAATGTCAAGAGAATGATTCAACATAGCGTGCAGCATTTTGATCTACCGATTAAATAAAGAGTAATTGGATTATACTATTATATTCCGGAAATAGATATCTGAATAGCATACTTTTTTTAATTACCAGGTGCATGGAACTCGGAGGGCCCTTCTGTTTAGGTAGAAACCATGGACGCTCATAGAAACTCATATGACCTTTTTTATTTATATTTCGAAATATGAAGCAATATATGGACCCCGATTTCATTGCTCTTAGATTCTGAATGTCATTTGACGAAAAGAGATGAAAAGGGAATAGGTATTAAGTAACTTCACAAAACGGATTCAACGTCTCAAGATTTTATTAAAAGCATTAGTTCGTTCGTTGATATATATATATATATATATATATATATATATATCAAAATTGAACCTACTTTATTTTTATCATCTCCACTTATAGAAACAAGAATCTTCTGCTGATCTGAGGGTGAAGAAGATCCATCAAGAACCACAACCGAAGACTCAGGAATACCCAATCGCCGTAGCCCAATAGCTTGATCCGTCATCAATGACACGAGGGGACTTATCACCAAAGTAAATGTTCCTTGATGTTCTGGGGTTTCGAGGTATGACGGTAGTTGATAAACAAGGCTTTTCCCAGCGCCTACAAGGTAAAAGAACAAATAATAAAAAAACATTACTTAATTGAAATAAGTAGAAAGAATATATACCAGTTGGCATAACTAGGATGACATCCCTCCCATCGAGGAATGCGTTGATAGCAGGCAATTGAAGAGGACGAAATTCAACAATATGAAAAAGTTCAAGACGCACACGATTCAATTCTGCAGTCCAGGGAAATAGTTGATCAGTGTATTCAGTGCATACTCCTGAAGTTTCACTGGACTTCAATCTAGCTACAGCAAGTTGGTGTTTCACCTGCTCATATTCGGCCTTGACAATTTCACGCTGTTGAATGAGAGATTCAATTCGTCCATTGATCGAAGATAGTTCTACTTTTAATTGTGATTCTCGTATAGCCAAACCTACTCGGTAAAGTTACTACGCTAACCAATGGGAACAAACCTGATAAATCTGTTGACATAACTTGACCGATATCTATTAAATTGTATCAAAAAACTCAAATAAATTTGTCAAATAACCACTCCACGATAAAACAAAAGTAAGGAAGTAGAAACAAAACGTTATATTTAAAAAGTTCTCACAGGTATAAAAATTCGATTTTTGCTTGATTTCAAGCCAATGTTATTATTCTCCTTCCAATTCCTTCATAATTTTCACAAGTTGAGATCTCGATGGAACTAACCGCCTGAAATCAAAAGAAAAACTTGTAATAGAATTTGGCAAAACACAATTATGTCTTTTGAATGCACATGGCTACAAATCTTACGACCTCCGGCGTTTCCTCGCACATGATCTCGGTGTTTCATTAGAAGTGCTTTGGGCATTGGAACTAAGAAAATAAAAAAAAGGCGGATGAATGAATGAGTCTGTAGAAATTGATTTAATAAAGTTATCACAGGGTCAGTAACTTCCCAAACATCTTAAACAGAAGCCATTAACTGAATTATTATGGAACAAAAATCATATTAGCACCCAAACATTTGGCACCATACAAGTGGGAAGAAAGTAAGCTAACCAATCATCAAGTTTATCAACTTTCAATGAGACCTAAAGAAAGTAGACATGAAATCACTAAGGGACATCTGGAAACTTGAAATATTATATTAATAGCCAGATTCAAAAATTTGGAATAAAATGGAACAATTTGAAAATCAAAATCAAAACACCCGAAGTAGACCTGTTTTGAAATTCGGACTGTAACCTTAATTCCAGTCCACTCCATTTCGAAACTTCTTCATCGTTCTAATTCACACCCTTCTATGATAAGGTATTTTCATACTATCAAACACATTCCATCTCAATATGGATAACAAGAGAATGGAAACAACTCGAAATTCGGAATCAAATTAGCATTTACTTTAGCGAATAGGACGGATCATATTATAATTCAAAAAATCTACAAAGAAGAGAGAGAGATGTCACAACCGTGGACAGCATTCTGACAGGTGGCGAAGGCAAGTAGAGAAATTAAGGCTAACACAAAAGGATGTCAATGTTAGCTAATGCGATTATGCAAACATACCTTTTAAAAAATTCTCACTAGAATTTATCGCGCAATGGTTCTGTTTATGCAAAAATGGAAATAGCAGGACAACCAACTAAGGTGAAAACTTTCATACGTAATTGGACAAATTTAAATGGAGGATTGAGAAACGTCAAGCGAATGCCAATCGTGATTCTTAGAAAACATTTTCCAAATGAACGATATGAGAAATGCCCAAGAACGACGTGTAACAGACAAAGAAACCAAAACTGCAACTGGAGCTATGTACATACGTTAGTTTTCAATACTGAAATCAGTGAATTATATTTATTTCTAAGTGGAAAATCCTATCTCATGAAACAATTTTTTGGAACCAAGGCACCATTATCCAACAGTAAAAATTAAACTGAAAGATAGAAATTTACTGCCGAAATGTATATTGAACAACAATTTCAAATGGACCAAATTAATAAAAAATAATTAAAAGTTTCTAAAACTAATAGGTCCGATATTCCATTTTAGCACATAGATTTAAATTAATAACCGGGAAAAAGGTGTCAGGCAAGCGGCAGCGATCCAAAATTATGATAAGAAAGGAAATACGTATATGAAGTTTGACAAAATAAGTAGTCGTTAAACGTAGGAACTATAGCAAAAGAGGCGTACTTATCACTCTCTGGAGTCAGAGGAGAACGTTTGGCAATTTTCGACGACGAGACGACTGGGGAAGAAATCTTCTGCTTGGTAGGAGTATCTAAACCTTCTGGAGTAACATCAACAACTTCCACAGGATATATCTCATGTGAATTAAGGAGCTCAGTCGATAGCAGTTCAAACTTTTTCAACTATGGTCATTGATAGAAGTAATGCCAGGTTAAAATTATCAATATAGACTAACGCGCTTATTAACTTTGTCGTTAATATTGCTGACGAAGCGCTGAAGCATAGAAAAACGGTCATTTAAATTGCGGAATTGCCGTTTAAGTTCACGTATTTCACTGTCCATTGACAGTCCAAGAGACTTCAAGTTAAAAATCTATAAAAACGAAAGTATCACATATGATAATAAAAAATGGCAAATAGTTGAACAACTAACACATACTGCAAGACAATTTATGGAAAAAATTTTACAACGGGATCAGGACAGACATAAATACAGATGTACTAAGGACGCGGTCGCGTGATCGTAAAATCTACATAAATATAAATAAATATAGTTAGTGGATTTAGAAAAGTAATATTAATTTAATAATGCTTTGAAGTTTTACTATGTTACGATAAATTTGTAAAGGAAAATATCCTATCAAATTAATTGAATACAGAAAAAAAATAAATATTTTCAATAACAATTAAAAAACAAAATTTATTTTTTTGTAAGTCAATTTTCTTATACTGAGACTGCTTAAACACCGGTCTTTGTGACTTTGGCCTTCCCGTATGCTTACACATATTGTTGAATTTTTATTTTTCTGCTTACTATTGTATTTTTATTATATGATCTTACAAGCTGCCAAAAAATATTCTTATTTTTATTAGGAAATAGTCGTGTCTGTAGTTTTTTTATTTTGAATTGAAAATGATTTCATTAATAGTAATTTAATATATTTGTGGTATTGTCGCAATTATTTACGGACGCGTTTTTGTCGCCTTTTTTGATTCCTTAACCATTGACGAAAGCTGGTTTCATTTCTGAGCAGCATCTCATTCACAGTATCTCCTTCCAGGGGTAATCTCAGATATGCGTGAATACAAATTGGTGGTTCTTGGCAGCGGAGGTGTTGGCAAATCTGCCCTGACAGTGCAGTTTGTGCAGAGTATTTTTGTGGAAAAATACGATCCTACTATTGAGGATAGCTACAGGAAGCAAACCGAAGTTGACGGACAACAGTGTATGCTGGAGATTCTAGATACTGCCGGCACAGTATGTTCAACGTTATTTTTACAATTATTGAGGTTTTGAAAATTTTTTTATAAATATTTGCATTTAGAAATCTAAATTTCCCATTACCGCTCGGTCGTTAAGTGAAATCTGTCTATAAAATATTAAGTTTTATGTTATTTTATACAATTAGAAAATGTTATGGTATTGCTTTATTTCTGAGTATTTTCAAATATATCCGTCCAAAATAGAAATGCGTTCCTTTTTTGACAATTTTTTAAATTAATTCGATTTTGAAAATAAGATTTGTGTGATGATTTTGTGTATCCTAAAATTTCGTAATGCTTATTTATGCTTGTAAAACTTGATTTTGACACTTTAAAAATCCAGTAGTTTTAATGCATTTAAATAATTTTTAATTTGATGTAGATAGATTCTGCGTAATTTTGATATTAAAAGGTTAAGCGAGTCAGCTATATATTGAAGGAAAAGATTAAGCTACTTGCCGAAGCTAACCAGAAAATGATCTCAAAAATTCGAATTTGAGAGAAATTTGGATGAAAGTGTATTTCTTTTATCCCTACTTACTTTACGTTTCCAGGTTTATAATTTTTAACTTCAGCTATTAATTATAATAGTTATTATCGTTAATTTTTATTTGAACTCTCTATTTTCTTTGTTTTCAGTCATCTTTCTTGAATTATTTTCCGCATTGCCAATAAAGCATTGAACCGCTTCTATATTCAAATATTTCCCGTTGATTCATTAGGTGCTGTATTTAGGGTTTCGTCGTTCCATCCGTTAACCGGTTCATGAAAGTTAGAATTACTTGTTTGAATAGTCAGCTTCCATAATTGAACCATTCCGCAATTGCAAGACGCAGAAGATTTTGTATTTTTGTCAATGAACTGCTCGGTTAAAGTTACGTGAAATAGACCTCCATATAGATTACCAACACACGTCGCTCAATTGCGTAGGAATGATTGAATGCAGCCAGGTTTTTCTTAGTCGCCAATCATCCTTCCTCTGTTTGGACGCATACCTTCCCCAATAGCTTGATGTTTTTTTCACATCATAATATTCCATTCGACAATGTTTGATAGTCAACGTTAGTAATATGAAGATGTCTTTTATTCTTTTAAAATTGTCCGTGTTGAATTTACGAAATGCTTCTCATTTATTGTTTCCTGCTTTATTTATTAACATAAACCAAGCATCAAACTATCACAAAGTCTTGCTTTACAATATCCCTAAAAAGCAATATTACTAGTACCTTCTTTGACTTGTAACTTTGTGTACATTGGAGTTGAAAAATGTCGGCGCTAGTCATCTCATTACTTCTTGTTAGCTTAATACTGGCGTATATTTATTGTGGAAATTGAATATGCAAGAGATTACCTTTTGTGCATTGTGCGTATTCTAGGAACAATTCACCGCAATGCGTGATCTCTACATGAAGAATGGCCAGGGCTTTGTTCTTTGCTATTCCGTCACTTCTCAGTCAACATTCAATGATTTGACTGATCTCTACGAGCAGATTCTTCGTGTAAAGGATACTCCAGAGGTGCCACTTGTCCTTGTGGGCAACAAATGTGACCTTGATAATGAGCGTGTTGTGGGCAGGGAGCAGGGTCAACATTTGGCCAGAAAATGGAAATGTACTTTTATAGAGACTAGCGCAAAGGCCAAGGTCAATGTCAACGAAGTGAGTCGGATTGCCCTTTTTTGCATTATTTCTTCCTCTCTGATTTCCTACTTTCATTACATTTTACCGCAATATTATTAGTAGAGTGCAGATTTAGTACTGACCTTTGGATTTCAAATCTTTGCGTAGACAGTAGGTAATGCAAATTTTGAAGCCTAATTTCTGATTTAATTTATGAGTCAATTTCATTATTTTTCATGATATAGGGAATAAAAATTTTGTTATATCGTTGATTAGTGTAATGATTTACTCGATATGTAATATCAATTATCTCCATCAGTTTTCATTTAAATAATAAATAAAACTTTCTACATCCTCTCATTGAAATGATTGCACAAAAATATCAATTCGTTGCTTATTTTTAACTTGGAGGAGGGCTTTAATATCACCGGTGAAGCTCTTAAACTCTTTCCTGCAGCAATCCTCTTCAACTCCTTACATGTGCTCTGCACAAGTTGATGTTCACAATGCCATTCGTTTCTTACTCGCGTTGTCGAAGCGCTGTCGTAGATAAAATCTGCTTATTATTATTATTATTCACTTCAGCATTAACAAAATAGTAAATAGGTTCTATTTATGGTTTATTGGATTTCTGTAGATATTTATTTTAAAGAAGGTGAATATATCATTTATTGCAAAAAAATAGGAGTTTAGTTCGAGTAAAGGTATCTAACAATGCTTCCTAGTATGGAAGACGATCATTGGGTCATATTTCACTTAATCCCCAGATAATCTCCTTTCATGTCTATTTAAGCCCCAAAAGAGCCTAAACACTTCTCCCATGAACAGACAATGAAGAGGGAAGTAATTGAAGTCCTTAAACTAAAAAGATATCACTTCGGTACTCTTCTTTGAGATTATGGGTACTTAAATTCACAATTTGCTTCAAGTTGCTACAATTACCTTAATAGACCAAATAATGGCAATTTTAGTACATTTTTTACGCATTAACTTCTTATAATCCTTCGTCAATAAGATTGTAACTAAAACATCTCATTATTGGCTATTTCTCTATGTTTCTGTTCATCTGCATCAAATATATATATATATATATATATATATATACTTTTTTTCTATCATCCTCTTCGTCCATTGCAAATAAATCGCTGCCTTCTTATCCCCTGTTATTATTTGTCTTTGACTATGGCGACACCATGGTGATAAAAGTTCAAATCAGATTGAAGTCACGCGAGAACCACTTGCGCTCACTGAGGAGCAATGAAGCTTAATGCCCCAAATTCAACCCCGCCCCGCTCTCTCCTCCCTCCTCTCCCTCACCCCTCCCTCCCACTTTCCACATTTTAGATACATTCACCCATCTCATTTACTCAGAGTAATTTAAATTTTCCTCTTGCGTTCTGTGCTTCTTGTTTAATGCGTGGCTATCGCCTACGTTTATCGTGGCGTTTTCACTCTGAGCTGCTATTCCTTTCATAATGAAAGAGATTGTGGATATTGGAATAGCACTTTGCTTGAAATCAAATTTTATCTCACTTTTAGTTTATTTTTGTGATTTCAATGCCAGCTATATTCAAGAGGTAGTTGGTTAAATGTTCATAGCTACGACTTCTCAGTCCCTGTCTCCTCTCTTCATGGCTTAGTTTATAGACGGAAGAACCTACCCCCTAAACTCGAGTCATTCTCTTGAATTCTAGCGTATCGTTTATGCTGTATCGGCTTGCATATTCTTGCCAACATTGATTATTCGTTTATTACCCATGAAGGAAATTTAAAAGTCTAATTTTAGTAATCACACAAGTTTCAGGAATCGGGTTTATTTTTGTATTTCCTCTAGTGCTAAATGGTCAGATTTTATTTGCGAGTTAATTATTCACTCCTCAACGTGCGTGTTGATTCACAATGCTTTCGTTAAATTGTATAAGCCCTTAAAAATAAGAAGTCTACCTGTTTACTATGTGGTTGCGATTGCCGATGGCTGCCTTCAAAAGTCCTGCATTTAGTTGCCTGTAGAATTTGCAGAGTTCATATACTACTTTTCATAGCATAGTGCCAATAAGGAGAGACGTGTACTGACCTTTCAAGACAACCTTTGAGGTCTTCCGTAGGGACTGCTTAAATGCTCCCATTCTCAACTATCTCCCTGGCTGTAGTAGCTACTCTGGTATAGGGAATGACTTTTACAACATCTGACATGTTGACTACTGCTACCTTTTAAGCAAATACAAATAAACCTGGGTTCGAATTATTACCATCTCGGCCATTGTATTGTATCTATACCCCTCAAGCCTTTTCTGTCATTTCAATGAACCGGGGCTTTGAGTAGTGCTGGGTTTTTCATCAACCACAATTAAGTTGAGGAGTCGTTTATTTTCCCTTGTGTGAGCGTTCTACTGCCGTTCGGCATTGTCTGCTTTCGTTTAACCAAACGCTCGTTGAATTGATCGCAGCTTAAATTTATTTTTCTAGTCGTGTGTGTAGAGCATTCCTTTTAATGTTGTTCAAACTTGTTTACCCTGAACTAGTTCAAATTGGAAATGACTAATACCTATTTTGTGCATAGCGTCCAGATATTTCATTTCGATAGAAATGTGAAATGTGGAATTCAAGGACTCATGCTTTGGCATACATTAACTAATCAGTCCACGTAAAGACCTATCGATTTAATTGAATATGCCATTCCTCCGGAAACTGGTATTATTTATGAATCGGGAAGCTGATGAACTTTGATTAAAAAGTCTCTTACAATCTTTCTACTGCTTTAGGTATGATTGCATGCCCAGGTTTGGCTATTATTCCACTTCAATCAGTTCTTTCATTTGATTATATATTTTTATTAACCAAGTGGCCACAATATCGTATCTACACAGCATTGGTTCTGTTGCCTTCGTTATTAATACGGTGTGTCAAAGTCATAGGTGATCTGTGGTGTACGAAAGGCACGTGGATTGCTATGGTCTGGACATGTGCTGTTGGCATCTAACTTGCTCTCTCTCCCTCTCTCTCTCTCATCTACTTTTCTTGCACTGGTGCCTCGCATGCGAGGGTGTGTGTGTGCGCTATGGTAACCGCGCCGCGCTCACCAATCGCTCGGCGTCTGACTCATCGACCTGTGCGGGCGCTGTTGGTGACTTTGACGATTCGATGTGCTGTTGCTTTCTTATGTTTGCACACGTAGTCCTAGTTACTGTATCAGAGAATTAGAAATTACGTCATTACGGGTATATGATATGGTAACTATAACATTCTAAACCCCTGCGCACACATCAAGCGCCCATCCTTCTCTACGTTTTCATGGAATCTATAATTGTCGATTTACTTCGCATTTCCGCCCGGCATAGATTTAAAGTTGTGAAAGAGCACACTAGGGAGAGCGCTCAGTCTTAGAGAATACAGCTCTATTGCTCTTTCTTGCCATTTCACACTCTCTTCCGCCACAAAATCTGGGTGGCAGCATACACTCTAACGTCCCTTTCACTTCCTCTTCTCACTCGAGTTGTCATGATGTATTTTCCTTCTATCCACTCTTGAGCTTTAAATTGCATTAAGGACCTAGTGGTAGTCAAATAAGGTCTTGGATTAAGGCTAAATTTATTGTCTCTAACTACGAGGTTTGCTGTTTTTTTTGTGATTCTCCTACTCGCTATTCGTTTTTGTTCGAATTTTTTCGTTTCTTCCTCTCTTCAAGCTCTCTGTTCTTAATCTTCATGTGCATTTTCATTATCTTTGCGAACATTACAAAACCGATTTTCCCCTATAACTGATGCCCCAAGAGCTTAAATAAAGTCCTTTCTTAAATAGCTAAGTACCTCTTCATTCTTTATGTGGGGAATGCTACCCTATGTCTCTCGTGTTAGAGTTGGGGGGGGGGGGGTTGGGGGTGGAAGACAACGAATTTATTGTTCACTTCTTTTACGTCATAATACAGTGCTCTAAAATGAGTTATTTTTTAACTGAATAGCCTCGCTTGTGTTTCATGAGTTCAACCATTGCTTGATAGTTCATTCTTTTCCAAGCTAGGCTATGTGCTGTGCTTATTCTTAAGTGCCCAAAAATCATACTGCTTTTTTGTGTTAATTAAACCGGAAGCTTCCATTTATTTGCCCTGAGTCATCCAACACATGTTGTTCTAATTCGCGTCAGTTAGCTTCACAGTCTAGCAAATATGCGCAAAACCTCACAACTTGACCTTATAACTCCGCATCTGGAGCGTACCCTTACTTCCTTTTTCATCATCATACAGCAAAATTCAAATCTGTGCCTTTCCAGCACCACTGCAGATTTCTTTGTGTGGCTTTTTTTTCAAAATTATTTCGTGTTATGCAGCAGCGGCGTCGCTGCATGCTGAGTGGCCACAGAGTTGTCCCTGTGCCATATTAGAAAAGGTAAACAACAATTTCTACTTGATGGTGGAAAGGTTACATGTAGGCTGCCAAGTTAGTAGTCGCAGTTTATAGTCAGAGGTAGATATGTGTAGGGCAGTTGGTAATCGCTGTTTATGCTTCTGCCTGCTTGGCTAATTTACGACACGTAGCCGTAAAGGAGACTTGGTTGGTAGGTGGGGCGGGGGG